ATCTTCACCTTGAAATCAAAGTACCAACAAATTATATAACAAACCAGCCCTCAGTTCATGTAAAAATTGTATTTCCTTGGAATTCTTCAACGTGAAAAGATGGGTCTTGGCTATGTACACCATAGCACTAAAAGCACTCTGCTTTAAAATAAATAAATATATGGTTTGTCAGGCAGTTCAGCTAACTGCCAAAAGCACTGTGAATTAAAAACTGATGAGCAGACCAAACAGTAATGCTTTCAGAGCAACAACAAAAAAAGATATATTCTGTGAGATTAAAGGTAGGTATTCTGATACCACAGAACCCTGAAACAATATCTCACCTTCTAGTCAAAAGATGCAATGCAGAGATAGGCAATACTGATTTTCATGCAAACTACGCTTTTGCATACTGTATCAGTAACATCCCTAAGTCCCATTTAGTAGAACAAACTGAGACTTACTACCTTAGGAGACAAAGGTAGTAACTGATGGTCCTACCTATCAGTTAATAGTTCTCTTTCGGTAGTGTCCCATTCAATACAGTAGTACTGCGTTTATATGATTATTAAAACTGTTTCATAAAATAGGAGTAAACATGAAAACAAAAGCACAGAAACTAGCAGAGGCTTCAAAACCTAATTCACTTTAAATAATCAATGAACAGACATGCTGAAATTGGTACATTTCCTAGTAAAAAACTGACTAGTCAAATGAGTGTGAAACAAAAGAAAAAGTAAAAGAACATTTTCAGATGCTGGCAATGATCATTAATGACTATGTATAAGGAAAGTAAATTTAAGAATTTAGCATATACTGTATATTTTAAAATTTATTTAGTACAATCAACTTGAACGTACATTTTGGGTAATATAATATAAAAATTGCCTATATTCTGAAATGATAATTGTTATGGACTGAATGCTTGTGTTCTCCAAATTCATATTAAGAAGCCCTAACCCCAAATGTGATAGTATTTAGCGGTGGGGCCTTTGGGAGGCAATTAAATCTTGAGAATGGTACCCTCATTAAGAGGATGGTACCATTATAAGATACATGAGAGACATGACCTCTCCTCCTCCCTGCCTTGTGAAGACACAGCAAGGAGGTGGTTGTCTACAGACCAGGAAGGGGACTCTCACCAGAAAAATGAACCTGCAAGCACCTTAATCTCGGCAAGTGAGAACCTGCCAGAATGGTGAGAAATATTGGTTAAGGCACCCAGTTCATGGTATTTGTTACAGTAGCTTAAGATGATGAAGACAACAGTTAACCTTAAATATGGGACCACTTTAAGCAACTCATAATACACTAAAACTCAGAGTTCTCATGGAGTGACTGCTAACATAACTTCAATATCTACTGGACCATATCTTCAACATCAAACTGACCATATTTGAGCCCAAAACTCGGTCACCTTAACACTGATCTCACACTCTGGCCTTCTCTCTTCTCCTCACTTTCTGGATGAGCCACTTCTCAACCCTAACACACAACTACTGATGTTTTCGTCTGCATCTATGCCCAAGCTTTAAAAAAACTGACACTGCACACAGGCCAACTCCTACTAAGCTATCTTTTTCTTCACTTGCCAATTCCTTAGTATATCCCTTACAAAGGCTACTCCAAGTCTCTTCGTCTCATTTTCAGAAAATGGATGGCTTATTAAGATTCAAAGTAATTTTAGAAATAAAGAATCTCAGGGATATTATTTCCAACTCCATTATTGTACATATAAGTAAATTTAAAGGATTCCTAGAATTTAAAGGACTAGAGCTTTACAGTCAGTTAACTTGAAGCCCCTTTCACTGAATTTCAGCATACTCCAACTTGATCATTCTACCTTAGGAGCAGATCCACAGAGAATTCAAGGGCTCAGACTAAAGCCACATTGCCTGAATTCAGTTTCAGTTAGGTCGCTTAATAGTTACATGGATCTGGACAAATGACCAATTATCTGTGCCTCAGTTTCTTCATTTGTTTTCAGACATAATAGTAGTATCTGCAACATTGGGCTGTGACTGTTAGCTAAGTTAAAACATGTAAAAGCACTAGAACTGGGTCTAGCACACAGTAAATGCTAAATAAAAGTTGTGTTCATTATCATTCCCTGTAGAACCTCCGGCAAATGAGAACATGCCCCTCTTCTAAGTTTACTTCTTTTCCATTGTTCTTAATCCCATACTCTCTATATCCAATAACTTGGCTGTTCCAACCTTCTCTCCTTCAGCAGCTTTAAACAAAACTCTTCCACTTGTCCTTCTTTTGATGCCAAATTTCTTAAATTGTTTTTTTCCATTTCCCACACCTACTTACTATAGTTTGCTCCTAAGATTCATCCTTTGGCTCTGGGCTCTTTCTTTTCTGAACTCCAACACTTGTTCCTCAGTATATGTTACCAAATGCTAAATCTCCACATCTAATTTTGAGTTCCTGCCCAAGCTCTAAATCTATGTGTCTCCAAACGTATGATATCTCTACTTGGGCATCTTACTATGATCTCACACTCAATTTTCCTCACATGCAAAATGATTGATAAGGTATCTTCCAAGTGAGAATATATTTTCAATATAATCTAAACAAAACTTATCATATTCTCTATCCATTTCAAGTCAGTTTCCCACTATTACTTCATAGTATTTGCTATTGGTGGCATTATAATTCTATTGGTGGCACTGTAATTCTCCAAGTAAGCAAGCTTTGTCTAGACTTAGTTTAGAATTTCTGACATCATCCATTCATTTCTAGCCTATCACTTTACCCAGATCTTTCCAGGTCTTCTCCTGATTTTATAAACCTCCTCTCAATTTTACATTTAAAGCATCCTCATAATATTCTGCCACATAATCACCCACTTTAAAGCACATCTTCAAATATTCTGTCACATTATCACCCACTTAAAAACCTCCAATAACTGTCTACAGTTTAGTCCACATTCTTTAGCCTGGCACCCAAATTTTTCTACAATCTGTTCCCAAACCATCTTTGTAACACTACAGTCTACTAATCCCCATAATTAATATATGCCTCAAACTCTACTTACCACGTAAGTTTAACCAACCAGTTCATCTCTATATAATTTCACAACATCTGCCACCCTGGAATGCCTTCCACCACACTGTTCATATATATCCCAAATATTTTTCAAGGCTCAACTCAATTTCATCCTTTCCCATAAAATCTTATAGCCCAGGGCAACCTCTCCTTTGTTTGAATTCTTAAGCCATTTATTGCCTAAGGAACTCACATGCCACTTAATTATATAATGCCTCACACAGTTATCTAAATGTGTGTATCATCCATCTCTCACATCACAATAAAAACCCCAGGAAAGGACAGTATGTATCTCTTTGCATCCACTATATTATCACTGAAAGCTGTGCATAATAGGCACTTAATAAAAAACTGCTGATTGTGTGAAGAACAATCACCTTGCTTCATAAGATACTAACTGCATGGCTCATGTAATTCCCTTTAAGAGAAAGAAATTACAGAAGAAAGAGTAGAAATAGAAAATTACTGTTTTGGAACCACCATAGTAATAATGATTCATGCAAGAATCATCAATGGACGCCAAAACCATCACATGAAAGTTTCTAGGGAACAGGATTATTCATACAGTGTCAAAATATATCTGAACAGATTACTTATGAATTACAAAGGGAAAAAAGGTACCTTCACAGTGGAGAAATCTGGCGGACACCAATGATCAAAGTTAACATCACCAATAATGGGATAAACTGACATCAAGTGCCTCCTGATGTGATGCACTGAGGACACAACATCACTTACGTATTATTCCTGCCAAAAATGCATAACCTGAAACTAGTCATGAGGAAACAATCAGACACACCAAAAACTGAGGGATAATCTACAAAACAACTGACCTATACTCTTCAAATATGTCAATGTGCTGAAAGACAAAGAAAGGCTGAGGAATTGAACATGAGATCCTGGACTGGATCCTGGATCAGAAAACAAATTGCTATAAAGGAAATCACCGCTCTACAGGACAATTGGTGAAATCTGAATAAGGAATGTATTAGGCAACAGTATTATATTGTTAAACTGCCTGATTTTGATCATTGTTCTTTGGTTAAGTAAGATAATTTCCTTATTCTTAAAAGAAATGTTGTAAAGTCTTTTAGGGTAGATGAAATCTAAAACTTATTCTCTAACGGTTCAGCAATAATAATAATGATAACAGTAATCAACAGAAAAACTGGCAAAAAAAAGTAGCAAAATGTAAACAACTGGTGAATCTAGGTGAAGGGTACACAAGAGTTCACATCGTGCTATTCATAAAACTTTTTTTCAAAATAAAATTAAAAAAATAAATACCCCAATACCACATAAAGACTATGAGAAGTTTTTATCAGTCTGTGTGGTATTTTACATTTTATTTGACAATCTTAAAGCAAGGCATTGTAACAGAAGTTATTTTCTAAATGAAATTACATTTTACATGCAATGGAAGAGTTCGCTCTATAAAAACATTTGTTCTAAAAAAAAATATCATTCTGAAATCAGAGAACCATTTGTAATAATGTCAACAGCCCACCAATAATTTATCTTTTAAAAAAATTCACATGTACCACAGAACTCAGTTAAAATAAAGTGAATTTTAGTTAGCGAACTGTCTTAAAAATACTTTTAAACAACGTAGTTTTATTGTGTTCAAATATACAGAAAAATGAGAAAGTAAAAATGGGCTGATTAAATCATTTTAAGGAAAAAAATTCCTTGTAATTAACATATTAACAAACATTTGTGAATTACTGAGTTTGCTTCATTATGATTTATAGAATGCATTATAGCTCACAAACTTCATTTCTCAATTATCAAAATTTTCGATTTAGCTGATTATAAATTTTTCATGAGTGCTTATAATAGTCATGAATTAGTAATATCTATAGGCTCTGGTGCCTTTAAAAAGAATAGTTCCAGTCAAAGTGCAATATGGTATGAAGGATTTTCTACATTCAATATAGTATTAGCAATAGTCCTTTAAAGTTTGATACCTTATTTATGAGATGTTCGGTAACAACTTCTCTTAGTCCAGTGTAGAGCTTTTCTCCATGTTTATGCAAAACCATTGTATATGCATTTCTATAGAGCTCCTCAAAACTAAGACCACTGTTATTCTTACGCTGGATTTCTTGAATTGCATTTTTCAGAAGGTCCCAAATGCTGTTTACATATTTTTCATCCATGGTCATCTGTAATATCCAAGAGAGAGAAGAGACAAAAAAAAAAAAAAAAAAAAAAAAAAAAACCAATGGTTGAAAGTCTTTCTATATTTTGTCCATATATAGTAAATATTTTATAACTGTATGACACATAAGAACATTAACAACCTGTTTTAACAGGGGGGAAAAAAAGGGATACATTTAAAAATAGTTTCTAAATCTGTTAGAAGCAATTTCAAATCTTTTAAGACCTCCCTCCAATCTTACCTGGAGCAGAACTCTTCACTTTAAATAAAATCATAATGATTTATATACCTGTAAGTCACTTACCCCTTCTCTCTCTCCCACCAAAATACTTGCCAAGTTAAATCCCAACAGCCCACATACTCCTGACATATATCCGTATAGCTGAAAGAAAATGAAGAATAACATATGCCCATATTTTTGGTCCATGTGAGTTTAAATTCATAACCACTAACGTTGTAAGTGCAGCCTTCATGCAACCTCACAATTCCACTAGTCAGTCTACTGACTCTACTCTTCTAGATGATTTTATACCATATCCTCCATCCTCATTCTATGATTATGACTGCTTCCTATTCCACTGAGAAAGTAAAAACAACCTGATAAGACACTATACAAATTCCAATCATATTCACACACCAACCAATCTGATTTTATGCCAATAAAACCTGCTAGGATCTTGAGCTCAAAGTGCCAAGTTATTGTACTTGAAGTATAGCGTAAGGACCAGACACATAAGCAACACCTAGGAACTTGTTAGAATTGCAGAATTCCAGGCCTTACTCCAGACCTACAGAAACAGACTCGACATTTTAACAAGAACCCAAGGCAATATTACACAGGATGAAATCTGACAAGTAAATCTCTAGTTCTATGCCAAACCACCTATTGAAAAGGTCTCCCTTTAGTAATCACTCATCTCAGCACCATCAGAATTTTTCCTCTGGTAGACAATTTCCATTCATACTAAAAACTGTCAGTTTTACCACGTGGACTGGCTCATGCCTGCAATTCTAGTATTCTGGGAGATTGAGGTGGAAGGATCACTTGAGCTTAGGAGTTTAAGACCAGCCTGGGCAATATAGTGAGACCCTGTCTCTACAAAAAAAAATTTTAAGTATTAGCTGAGTGTGGTGGCGCATGCTTATAGTCCTAGCTACCCAGGAGGCTGAGGTAGGAGAATCACTTGAGCCCAGAGGCACAGGCTGCAGGGATCCAAGATCACACCACTGCACTCCAGCCTGGGTGACAGAGCAAGATCGCGTCTCAAAAAAAAAAAAAAAAAAAAAAAAAAAAGATTAAAAAGTTGTCAGTTTCCTATGTCAAAAACAAATCCGCACAAACTCATATATTCCTTCAGCACCATCTAATCTCTCTTTCCATTTATGGCAAAACCACAGGCAACGAGCAGGGGAGATTCTACATACACTGTCTCCAAGTTCCATCTTTCCATTTTATCTTGAATCTACTCCAATAGGGCTTTCATCTCTACCATTTCACTGAAACTGCTCTTGAGAAAGCCCCCAGTGACTTCTATATTGCTAAAATCTAATGGTCAAAGTCTCAGTTCTCCTCTTACTTGACCTATCCAGCAGCATTTGAAAGAGCTGATCACTTCTAATACTTGAAACAAATTTGGCAAGGCATGGTGCCTCACACCTCTAACCCCAGCACTTTGGGAAGTCGAAGCAGGAGGAGAACTTGAAACCAGGGGTTCAAGATCAGGTCGGGCAATATGGCAAAACCCCGTCTCTACTAAAAGTACACAAATTAGTTGGGCATGGTGGCGTGCACCTGTAGTGCCAGCTCCTTAGTGGGGCCGAGGCAGGAGGATTGCTTGAGCCCAGGAGGTTGAGGCTGCAGTGAGTGGAGATTGTGCCACTACACACCAGCCTGGATGACAGAGCAAGACCCTGTATCAAAAAAGAAGAAGAAGAAAAAGAAACAAATTCCTCACTTACCTTCCAAACACTACAATCTCTTGTGTTTCTTCTATTTCTGTCTCCTATTTGTTCGTCTGTTTTACTGGCTCTTAATTATCACCTAAACCTCCAATCCTAAAGCTCACGTTCTTGATTCCTTATCTAGCCACTCAGTTTCTTTTCTTTTTTTTTTTTTTTTTAGCCACACTCAGTTTCTAGGTGGAGTTGATGTTATCTATTCTCATGGTTTTAAATCAATCTCAAAATTGATACATTCTCTGTTTAGCCCCCTCTGTCACATGCCAGAGTCATATATCTAGCTACCTACTCAGCATTTCCATCTGAATGCCTAGAAGGCATCTCAAAGTTACCAAGTCTGAAACAAAACTCCTAATCTTTTCCCTCAGTTGGTTTCCCCTGAAGTCTTTTCCAACCGAACAAACATCTACTCCATCCTTCCAGCTGCTCCGGCCAAAAAGTTTGTGATCATCATCAACTACTCTCTGATCCCACTACTAGAAAATCCTGTTGTCTCTAACTTCAAAATGTATCCCCAGAATTCAACTCTTTCTCACCACTTCCACTGCTACTATCCTGGTCAAACCACCATCACCTCCAACTGGTCTCTATCTCCACTACTGGCCTGCTATCATCAGGCAAACCAGGGTGACCTTCTATAAGCATAAATCAAATCATGTCACTCATTTGCTCAAAAAATCCTCAAATGATTTCTCATTTCCCTTGGAGTTAAAGTCAAAGTCCTTACAACGTTCTATAAGCTTTATTCGATCTGATAATCTCTCAACTTCATCCATTTTTCCCCTTTGCTCACTCTGCTCCATGCACTCCCTGGCACACATCAAACAAGCTCATTTCAGTGTCTTTGTATTTGCTATTCTTTCTGTCTGAAATGTTCTTCCCTCAGATTACTACATGGCTCAAACCTCTACTCAACTGTCATCTTACAGTGAAGTTTTAAATGCCCACTTTCTTTACAGTAACAGCCTCACCTCACTACTGATCCCCAACTCCAACCCATATTCTTCATTATTTTCCTAGTCTCTCTCTCTACAACCAAATGTCAGCTTCATGAAGGCAGGGATCTTTTTTTCACTGCCAAATTCCTCAGCCTCTATCTGGCACATAACAAGCATTCATACTTGGTGACTGATTTTCTGCTAATATTTGACTAATGACCCCTCTGTAAATGCCACATAAAATCTCCAAGTTCTCCATTTACAACCTAAGCAACATTGATCAGCTTCACAGATACTTCTGATCTGAACTGGATAAAAATTACTGAGTTAGTGGAATACTCTCCAAGTCATGTCTGATGTGTATGAATGTGAAAAGAGGAAGGAGTAGGCAAAATAGTTATTTTAGTCACCCTGGCAGTAAAATACCAGCTCAACTCTCAATCCAGAGGATCCTTAAGCAAATGACTCAAACTGAGTCTTGTTATTCTAATCTTTTCTGGAGAGCTTAAGAAGGAACTTTAACAGAACAATTTCTTTTCTTTTACCGAAATCCTATGCAAGACCTAAGTCTGTCACAGACTTATGTCAAATGACTGTAAAAGAATTTACCCCTACACCTATACTGCTACCTATTTTTAATCAGATATCCTGATAGACAGGATGTCATCCATATTAACATGCACAGATATGGCTATTCACAAACAGAAGATTCAAGGCCATGCAATAATGATGGCCTCAAATACCATAGCTATGTATGTGCAATGTGGTTTTAGTTTGTTGATTGCATATGCTGAGGTTCTAATAAAGCAAACTAAGACACTACCCCTTGACATTAACAAACAGATAAAACAAAATACTCAGAACAATTTCAAAAAAAAGCAAAGTTAATATCAACTATAAGCCTCAAAGATACCTATACTGCTAATAGCTGAGCAAAACATCAAATGATCTTTTCAGGCTCTATAACCTAAAATCCCCTGAAAGCCAGAAAAAAGTATGAAAAGGTCTCTACCCAGAGTAAATTACTGAATTTTTCCACTAGAAGCTGAAGAATTTTAAAACTATAAACCAAGAGGCCTCAAACATTGTACAAGTACTCTCACATTATAACATAACCATTTTCACATATATACATCAAGAGTTGTTTTACTACACAAGGTTGTATGCAGTCTTTTGTTTTTTTTTTAATTCATGCCTTATTGATAGATAAGAGATGGGGCTACAGGAAAAAATGTTCTTCTGGTGATAGCTAAGGTTAAAAATTTTTCTAACAAATGAGAAGTAGAGCCAGGCACAGTGGCTCCCGCCTGTAATCCCAGCACTTTGGGAGGCCAAGGTGGACAGATCACTTGAGGTTGGGAGTTCGATACCAGCATAGCCAACATGGTGAAACTCCATCCCTACTAAAAATACAAAAAAACAGCCGGATGTGGTGGTGCGTGCCTGTAATCCCAGCTACAGAGGAAGCTAAGGCAGGAAAATTGGTTGAACCCGGGAGGTGGAGGTTGAAGTAAGCCAAGATCGTGCCAGCCCACTCCAGCCTGGGCAACAGAGCAAGGCTTTGTCTCAAAAAAAGAAAAAAAAAAAAAAAAGAAAAAGAAAAAAAAAAGACAGCAACGAAAATAGACCCAGAAAGATTAAATGACTTACCCAAAATCACAGAGCTGGGATTAGAGCTTATATATCCCCAAACCTAGTCCGTATCAGTGGACTAACGTCACATTCCATTGTGCTAATATGGTAAAGTAACATCACAGTATGAGTCACTGATTATCTTGGTAAACATAGTATATTGGTAGAGAACGTAGGTTTTGCTGTCAGACAGGCTTAGGTTTGTGCCACAGCTTTGTTACTCACAAGCCATGTGACCTTGAGAAAATTAAGTCCTGGGTTCAATAACAGTATCTATCTCAAAGGGCTGTCATGAAGATTAAATGAGAATGTCAGCAGATTTAATGCAGCCAGGGCACAATATAATCCCTCATACATCAATTAAGGAAAGTGCCCAATGATAGAATCTCTTGAACTCTCATCAACAGTCATCAAATAAATGTCAGAAAGAAATACAGCTTTTTCAAACTTAGCAAATATACAGATATGCACTAAAACAAAGGCACCTTAAAAGTACCACTATGATAAATGCACTTCAGTATAATGTAGCTTTCTTTTAGAAAACATTATTCCCCTACATCTCTTATATACTACTTTTCCAGAGCCATTTAAATCACTTTCCTCCTCAGAACTCTGTCCTTGGCTCTTTTCACTCTCTACTGGGTCCCTATGTATTTTCATTCGTTGTCATGGTTACATCTATTAGCCGTACATGTAGGGTTCTAAAACTTAAGAGACTCCAGATTGACTGCAAGGGATTCCAGAGGTTCCTAAAACAATAAACAAAACTTTCCAAGTATACTATGAGTTCACTTTTCTGGAGAGTAGGCCCCTAATTTTTATCAGATTTCCCAAGTTTGTCCATATCTTAAAGAAGATAAACTATAATAGTACTCTTATCTACAGTTTCACCTCCCTTGGTTTAAGTTACTTGCAATCAACCACTGCCTGAAAATATTAAATGAAAAATTCCAGAAATATCAATTCATAAACTTTAAATTGCATGCCGTTTTATGCAGTATCATGAAATCTCGTGCCATCCCACTCAGGATGTGAATCCTGAATTATATCTTTGTCCAGCATTTCTACACTATGTTACACACCCGTAAAAACTTGGTAACTTAACAGCCATCTGGTTTATCAGATCAAAATCACAATGCTTGTGTACAGGCAATTTTATCTTACTTAATACTGTCCCCAAACCACAAGAGTAGTGACACTGACAATTCAGAAATGCCAAAGAGAAGCAATAAAGTGCTTCCTCTAAGTGAAAAGGTGAAAGTTCTCTGCTTAATAAGGAAAAAAAAAAAGATAAGCTGAGATTGCTAAGATCTATGTTAAGAACAAATCTTCTGGCCAGGATGGTGGCTCACGCCTGCAATCCCAGCACTGTGGGAGGCCCAGGCGGACGGTTCACTTGAGGCCACAAGTTTAAGACCAGCCTGGCCAACACGATGAAACTCCATCTCTACTAAAAATGCAAAAATCAGATGGGTTCGGTGGCACACACCTGTAATCCCAGCTACCTGGGAGGCTAGGGCACAAGAATCACTTGAACACAGGAGGTGGAGGTTCATTGAACTGAGCTGACATTGTGGCACTGTACTCCAGCCTGGGCAACAGAGCAAGACTCTGTCTCAGGAGAAAACAACAACAACAAAAAAGAACACATCTTCTATCCATGAAACTGTGGAGAAGGAAAAATAATTTGCACTAGTTTTGCTGTCACAACTCAAAACTACAGAAGTATGGCCACAATCATTCACCCTACTTCATCTCATCACATAGGCAGTGTATCATCTCATACTATCACAAAGGTTAAGTACAGTACAAGATTATTTTGAGAGACGGCATTCATGTTGTTTTTTTTACAATATAGTTATAATTGTTCTACTTTATTATTGTTGTTGCTAATCTCTTATTATTTCTAAATTGTAAATTAAATGTCATAGGAAAAAACAGTACATACAGGGCTCAGGGCTATATGGTCTCAGGTATCCACTGGGGATCTTGGAATAAACAGATCCCTGTGGATGGGGGGGACTTCTGTACTGGTATTTGCATTAACGACTCCCAAATCTATACTGCCTGCCCAGATCTTCCCCCCAATGTCTAAAACTCTTGTTTCAACCACCTGCTACATGTCTCCAATCAAATGCTCCAGACACAGATCAAACTCAACACATCAAAAATCCCTGGTGAACTCACCATTCAAACCTGCCCAAACCTTCTTCCTGTAATCTCTAATTTAGTTGTGGCAATACAAACTACATAATTATACAAGCTAGAAGCAGAAGTCTTACATTTTTTCTTATCTCTCATCTCCTTCTTATTCAATCATCAAGTACTACTGACATTAAGCCCAAGATATTTCTCAAATATGTTCCCATTTTTTCATCCCGAATACAGTTGACCACTGAACCACGTGGGAGTTAGGAAAAACTGACCTCCTGTGCAGTCAAAATACTGTGTGTAACTTTTAAGTCCCCTGATTACTAATAGCCTACTGTCGACCCAAAGCTTTACCAATAACATAAACAGTCTATTAACACCTATTTTGTATGTTACAGATATTACACACTGTATTCTAAGAATAAGAAAAAGAAAAAATATTAATAACATTGCAACAGAGAGAAAATTAAGAACATTTTAAGAAAAAGAAAATGTATTTGGTATTCAATAAGTGGAAGTGGATTGCCATAAAGGTCCCCATCCTTCTGGTCTTCACATTCAGTAAGCTGAGGTGCAGGAGGAAGAGAAGTAGTTGGTCTTGCTGTCTTAAGGGTGGCAGAGGCACAAGAGATAGAGGAGGTAGAGGCAGAAGGGGAGGCAGGAGAGGCAGCCATGCTCTGTAACTTTACAAAAACACATTGTAATTTGTCTAACTTTTCTGCTTTTTCATTCCTCTAAAAATGTTTCTATCTGGTCCCAATCCTTGTGCCACTTTTTAAATTTCAGTGCCCACCATCACAGAAGGGTTCATGTCATAAAAGTCAAAGCATTCTTGAGTATCAGAAACCTCCTGCCAGATTCTCTAATGTCAATTTGGTTTTTGGCACTGCTTCTTCTACATCTTCCTCATCATCTGTCACTGGTTCAGAAGCACTCATCTCCATCAAGACATCTTCTGTTGATTCTTCTGGTGTGACGTCCATTAGCTCTTGAATTTTTTCAAGATCCATATCCTGAAACCCTTCACTCCCCACTTTACCACAGCCACACTGTCTTTCAGGATTCTGACTGGCTCTGTCATAAATCTTGCGAAGTCATGTACAACATCTGGACACAGTTTTTCTCTAGCAAGAATCTATCACTTCGGGCTAGATGGCTTTCACGGCTTTTTAACAATGATGGCATCTTCAATGGTGTAACCCTTCCAGACTTTCATCATGTTCCCTCTATTGAGGTTCTCTTCCATAGCAATGACAATCTTTTCCATAGATTACTACTACTGTGTTTAATGAGCCTTAAAGGTACGTATTAACCCCCCACCTTCCCCATCTACAGGCTGAATTTAAAACACTTTATTTAAGGTCAAGGATACAATACCTCCAGTGATGAAGAACTCATGAGGTTCTGCGTGGCTAGGTGCATTGTCCAATAGAAAAAATACTTAAAAGGCAGTCCCTTACTGACAAGGTACTTTCTGACGTCAGGGACAAAGCACTGATGGAACCAATTAAGAAAAAGAAGTCCAGGCCTTCTTGTACAACCAAAAGACTGGCAGCCAGTATTTATCTTTTTTCTTCACGGCTCAGAGGTTAGTAGATTTATAGATAAAGTCAGCCCTGATCATAAACCCAACTGCACTTGCACAAAACAGCAGAGTTAGCTTATCCCTTCCTGCCTTGTACACCCTAGTATGTGCTTCTCTTCCTTACAAGCCAATGTCCTTTGTGGCACTTTTTTCCAGAATAGGGCCCTTTTGTCTACATCAAAAACCTGTTTAGGCAGATAACCTTTCTCTTCAATGATTTTCTTGATGGTGTCTGGGAACTTGTCTGCTGCCTCTTCATCGGCAGAAGCTGCTTCTCCTGTTACCTTGATACTTTTTAAGCCAAACTTCTTTCTAAAATTATCAAACCATCCTTTGCTGGCATTACATTCTCCAGCTTTAGATCCTTCACCTTCCCTTGACTTTGTCATGTAATGACTTCATTTTCCTCAATTCATATTAGAATCACTAACTATACTTTCCTTACAGCAATTCTGCACCCACATACAAGCTGCATATTCAATATGAGATAAAAAAGTATTTTGCAGGCCAGGCGCGGTGGCTCACGCCTGTAATCCCAGCACTTTGGGAGGCTGAGGCGGGCAGATCACGAAGTCAGGAGCTCGAGACCATCCTGGCTAACACAGTGAAACCCCATCTCTACTAGAAATACAAAAAAATTAGCTGGGCGTGGTGGCGGGCACCTGTAGTCCCAGCTACTCCGGAGACTGAGGCGGGAGAATGGAGTGAACCTGGGAGGTGGGGCTTGCAGTGAGCTGAGATCACGCCACTGCACTTCAGCCCGGGCGACAGAGCGAGATTCCGTCTCAAAAAAAAAAAAAAAAAAGTATTTTGCAAAAAGCACAAGGTTTTTGCACCAGCTGGCACAGGTGTAGTGACGGCTTCACAAACTTCCTTTTAACAATGGTACTGGCTTCATTTACCTAGAAATGGCAGGTAACCACAGCTGCAGAACTTAATCTAGTGCACATCAAGCAATTCAACAATTTCTTGTAATGTCATGACTTTTCTCTGCTTTGTAGGAGCACTTCCAGGTTCACTAGGGGCACGTCGAATGGGTTCCATTGGGTTATTCCAGGTTTACAGTATTCCACTAAGCATAATGAAAAATATGTGAAAACCGCAAAAGAAAATTTTTACTGCACTACAAAGAGAAACTGCTCAATGAAGATATTAGTCACAAGATGTTTTTCTGTTTTAGACAGGGTCTTCCTCTATCACCAAGGCTAGAGTGCAGTAGTGCAATCATAGCTCACTGCAGCCTCAAACTCCCAGGTTCAAGGGATCCTTCCGCCTCAGCCTCCTGAGCAGCTGGGACTACTGGTGTGTGCCACCATGCATGGCTAATTTTTAAAATTTTTCTGGTAGAGCTGGGGGTCTTGCTTTGTTGCCCAGGGTGGTCTTAAAACTCCTAGGCTTGGGCCAGGCACGGTGACTCACGCCTGTAATCCCAGCACTTTGGGAGGACGAAGTGGGCAGATCATAAGGTCAGGAGATCAAAATCATCCTGGCCAACACAGTGAAACCCTGTCTCTACTAAAAATACAAAAAAATTAGCCGGGTGTGGGGACGGACGCCTGCAGTCCCAGCTACTCGGGAGGCGGAGGCAGGAGAATGGCGTGAACCCAGGAGGTGGAGGTTGCAGTGAGCCGAGATCGCACCACTGCACTCCAGCCTGGGCGACAGAGCGAGACTCCGTCTCAAAAATAAATAAATAAATAAATAAATAAAACTCCTAGGCTCAAGCAATCCTTCTGCCTCGGCCTCCCTAGGTGCTCCAATTACAGGTGTGAGCCACTGCACCTAGCCACAAGGCATTTTAAGTGCATACTTGCAACATTTGATTGAGCTTACCCTGTTAGCAGTAAGAGGTGGCTATAAAATGTATTACAGCAGTACAATATGTACTACAGTTAATTTTATGCAGTTACAGTTTA